TCTTGTACCAGGCTTAGTAGTACCGAGAATCTAGCTCGAAATCTAGGAAAAATCTGTCATAGTTTTTGCGAAACCGGGGTAAAGCGAATTTCGTGCTCATGTCTTTGTTTTTCTGTGTTTGCAGGCAAGACGCGGACAAAGGACAAGTACCGAGTCGTGTACAGTGATCATCAGCGCCTGGAGCTGGAGAAGGAGTTCCACTACAGCCGCTACATCACCATCCGCCGCAAGGCCGAGCTGGCCGCCAGTCTCGGGCTGTCGGAACGACAGGTGAGAACGCTTAAATTACCATGAAAATACCAAACGCATGAAAAGTGCCGACCCGATTTGAAAGAGAAAAATTACAGAAAATCGCAGAAAATACGAAATATCTGAGTTTAATTACGTAGACATCGTGATAAAAGGGTCCTTTTCAGGGTCGCGTTGATTTCTTGTGTGTGACTAGGTGAATATTGTCACACACCAAGATATAAAATGATTCCTTCTGAATTTTCCGTCTGCGCTTATTCTCTTCGTCTATATACGACGGGACGAGTACTCTATCGACCCTTTAGACTCGGCCCCATGACGCGGAGCAGCGTCGTGCCCATGGTACGGCCCCCTCCGCCGTGCCTCGCGTGAGATAAGACGGGGCGGGGCGGGGCGGGGCGGGGAGGGTGGGGCGGAGTGCCATGGGCCGCCATGCTGCGCTGACATGAGCCGCGCTCGCGGTGGTGGGGGAGCAAGGGCGGAGCAGCGGAGCGCGCGCGCGGCACGCCCACGAGGCCCCCCTCCACTCGAGCCGCGGAGTGGGGGCATGGGGCGCAAGGGAAGGAGAGAGGGGCAGGATGTAATCCTGTTTCAAAGCGAGCTACAGTCTGATACTCGCGGGGGGAGGGGATGTCAGGCTTGAAATGTTAATGGTTACTGGCATATGTGTGGGTCCGTCCGGCCTTCCTAACGGTTTTCTTTCGTCTGTCCGTGCAGGTCAAAATCTGGTTCCAGAACCGGCGCGCCAAGGAGAGGAAGCAGACCAAGAAGCGCGAGGAGCTCGACCATAAAGTGAAGCCGGAGGACCTGCAGCCCCAGGGCCACCAGGGCCACCAGGGCCACCCTCCGCACCTCGGCGGCCACGGTCACTCCCTCGCGCACGTGCACCACCACGCCCTCCACCACCAGCTCCACCACCAGATGCACCACGGCCACCACAGCGGGTCCAACCCCGGCTCCACCAGCCCCCTGTCGCTGCCTCTGTCGCACTCCGGCCCGGGAGGCTCGCTCGGAGGCGGGCCTCTCGGGGGCGGATCTCTCGGGGGCGGGCCTCTCGGGGGCGGACACGGCGGTCACTCCGGGGGCCACCTGGTGCACCACCACATGCTGGCCAGCGCGGGGAGCGCGAGCCAGCACACCTCCAGCGGGGGTGGCGGCGGGGGCGGCGGCAGCGGGAGCAGCAGTAGCAGTGGGGGCGGCTCTTCGGCAAGCGGCCCCTTGTCGACGTCTGCCTCCAACAACAGCTCTGGCAGCACCGGGTCCGCCTCGGGGGCGGCGGCCAACGTTTCGTCCGGGGGCGGCAGCGGCTCCATCATGTGACCCACAGTGGAGCTGTGCCTCGGGGACGCACCGGAGGTCTGGTGATCTCTCCTGGACCCGGAACTCAGGCCTCAGGCTCCTCGGGGCCCAAGTGCGTGGAAGGCGCGTGCCAGAGGATGACGGACACTCGCGTGACGTCGCGGACCTTTTGAAACCGGGGGGGTGCCTGGCCCGGTGACACTCAATGCCCTCACTCACTCACTTCCCCTTTGTTCCACGGTGCCCATCGCTACGAAAATGACCCGAACTTTTTAGTGAATGCTGTTGTGGTCACCTCAGGTGTATTTCCGTCCAATGTTTGAGTGTTCAATATAAAAATGAGATTTTTTAAATAGTGTTACTTGGGCTGCAATGTTGTTTTTAACGTTACTCTAGTTTTATGTGCATTATACCTTTGCCCTGTACTCCTACCTCGTTATTCTTTTAAATTGGTTGATTTTAACAATGATTTTTGTTAACCGACAAGACAAGTGGAGAATTCAAATACATATACTGTACCATACTTATGAAAGAAAGGTGATCAATAATCAACATGCTTTGAACATCATATTGCTTTGCTCAAACTATCTGTTACTATGTTGTTTAAATAAAAAGAACATCAAGCCAAAAAGTGCAGCGGACGAACACCTTCCCAACCGGAAGTCCTAGTCAAACGGATTTTGTCAAAATGACATCATTTTGATGTAAGTGTCAAGATTTTGTCATTTTCGTTTTACGTTTTGATGTCATTTTGAGATAAAGTCACATCAAATGATCTCTAATTGACATCAAAATGTAAAACGAAAATGACAAAATTTCTTGACAATGATATCAAAATTATGTCATTTTGACAAAATCCGTTTGACTGGGTGTGTTCTCCAGACAGGCCAACGTCACATGACGAGACCTTTCATTCCCGTCCCGGCGTGGCCCAAAGCTCGTTCTGTGCAATTTTCCCATTTATCTTAAGTTTGTATTAATTCAGTGAACACTTGTCCTTTTCTTCTGAGAAATATTTGTTTAGGCGAGTTGGTGATCCCGGTGCTCCTTTACACGTACTTAAAACGTTTATGTATTAATCACTCAGTGTATGTACTGTGATGGCATTATTAAACATTAAATATAGAGCTTAAAAACCAATGGGCAGCACAAGATCCATGTGTACAAAGTTTAGGGTGATAAGAATTTGTTAAAGATCAATGCTGTGAAATTAAATGTTAATTTAGTTCTAGGCTTAAGCTATGCGTGCCTTTTCTGAGAACTTTTGGTGACTTGTTATCTCAGACGTATCAATCCGAATCGCACACTGTTTGCTTTAAGTCATCAAGTCACTTTGGCGCCTGTTCCGACCATACACAAATTGTCAGTACTGCATCTCACAATTTTAGTGAGTTTCAAACTATATGCTTTAACATAGGGCCTAAAGTTGTTTTTTTTCTTTAAATCGTTTAAGTATAGAAATTTATATATATGAATTTATGGATATATGTTAAAATTATTATTAAAATATTATTTCACCTGAATTCTCAATCGACTGTTTGATTTTCTGTTTCCTTGTATATGTGGTGTCTTTTCGACATCGAAAAGGCAATTTCCAAGTAAGTTACCAGCAGTTTGTGCTCCACTTGGCCGCACTTTCGGTGCGGTGCGCTCCGCGTACTCCTCCCTCATCCCTCCCCCGCGGGTGGGGAGGGAAGGACTGGGCTGAGCCGGCCGGGCTCCGGCCGGGGACACGGGGACGACCACAAGTGTTCCCTCGGGAGTCGTTAGAGTTGGAGCTCAGCTCTGGCAGAGCACGCGAGCTTTGCCGTCGGGTAAAGCAGGACCGGCTGGCACGCCCGGCCTAGGAGCGGAACGGTTGGGGCGGGGCGGCGGGGAGCTGATGGGAGGGCGAAAGTGTGCCCGCACTACTGATCTGATCCAACTTCAGAGAGTAGAAATCTACTTTCCTGCAGCGACATGCACGCATGACCAAGTTTAAACGCTTTTCGATGGATACTACACGTAGCTACGCGGTACAATACCCGGAAAATGTAGTTCACTTGGCCTCATGTGCCTCTTAGCCTCAGCAGGCGCTATAATGAATTGTTCACCCACTCAAACCTTATGCCTACAAATCTTGAGTATGAAATTTTAAAGATAAAATGCTTGCTCCTGCATTGTATTTAACTTTAGCAACATGCACATAAAATGAATAGATATAATTTATCAAACATATTACAGTGGAAAAAAATACCACAAGCATAGTTCTTTGTAAAACCCTCACTGAAAAAACTATCAATTTACAGGGAGGCAATAGTAACAAAGTTTAACTTATTTCAGAATAGAGAAGATTTTAATGTACAATTTATAAAACAATTTCAACAATTAAGTCATGCCACAGAAATGAGGATTGACTCACTAACAAAACACCCCTGGACATAAAAACCCAGACATATACATAGTTTACAATATATACAAATTTGTGCAGATTTAGATACAAACAATTAGCATAAAAAATACATTTTAACATTGTCAAATTGGTAAAGCTCCTTAGTCATCTCTTCAAGTGTAAAAGACCACTGTGACAAAATTCACAAAAACAAATTTTTAAAAAAAGGAAAGAAAAGAAAAAAGTGTAAGTAACAGAAAAGTTGGTATAGACTTGGGATCTAATCATAGTCAGAGGAAGAGTTACAAAGTACAGATTTCACAACAATCCAGTAAACATAATTACAACATTAAAAACCTTGCAATTGCACAAAACACAAATAATGTGCAAGATATCAAGGAATGGCACATATTTCTCTCCCCCTTCATACAGTAATATTTTGGTCATTAACAGAACACTGAAGTACTGTACAGCCATATAAAACTAGAAGATAATTGACTCAGCACCAACAGTGTTTCCACATTAGCTCGTGATTATAATTTTGTGACAAATTCAGTATAAGTAGGCCAGCCCACAACAGAAATTAGACTTGTTATGCACATACGTACTTGTCTGTCTTTCAATGTTTCCACTTACCTACAAACAAGGAAAGGATGAACATTTTTGCGCTACTTTCCCCTTAACAACCAAACACAACCGATTACAGAATAGCAACAAATTATAGTGTAATAAATAAAATAAAGTATGTACTGTAGTATTAAAAATGAAAAGACTGAAAAAGCAGGTCCCCAAATTTACCTCATGCATGACTTTTCTCCCTTTCTCACAACATAAATAATGTAGGGTAGTGCAGACGGATCAATTCTTCTTTGTTATATTGACATTTCAAATTAATTCAAAACTTCCTACGGAAAAACATTGATAAAATATTTTAGTACATTATACAAATCTATGGGAACATCATACAGGTAACTGGTTGACTACTCTAGATAAGATCACAATAAGAAAGTATCAAACACATAACGTAAAAACCCGCAAACAAAACAAATACCAGTAGGTAGATTTTTTAAAAAGATAAAAAGATTCCCTGATTGAAATTTTCAAGCCAATATTAGTTATCTTTAGTTATCTTTGCTGAGTCTTTTATCCAAAGAGAAAGTTGAAGTTAAATGTCAATTAATCAAAAGACGGAGAAAATCAAGGACATCAATACATGTGAACAAGATATTAGACGTCGGGTGAAATACACAGTAAAACCCCAAGGTAAAACAACATCACTTATTCAACATAACATCCATTCCAAAACATTCAGAATCAACTACATAGCATTAAAAGTGGAAAGTTACCATGTCGTTAAAACTTAAAAGAAAGTTCAGTGCAACATCTAACAGCAGAAAAGCTAGACAAAATGAGTCATTAGCTAAATGTATGAAAAAATGAGGCAGAAAAGTAATTGCTGTGGTTGCTAGTTAACATAATTGATTCAGAATTAACTGTATTGTAGCAATTTAAATAAGCAAAATTCATGTTGCACTGTTAGACAAAGTAAAATAAAACTGAAGGGTAAAGATTCTTCCCTGACAACCAAGCCAAAAGGACGGTTCTTACAGAGGAGATGCAGGTACAAGGTTTCCTTACTTCCAGGAGGAAGACTAACTCTACTTTCTCACAACATAAGCATTCTTTTGATTATGATTAATAAAAATAAATCTTTCTTTCAAGGAAAGTTACTTTAAATTACTTGTGCAAAAGACAGGCATTTTCATCACACATGTCAATAGATAGATATTGATAGAATACACCAGCATTTAGGAACAAAATACCATATTCAACTGAGTCTAAGACCCCCCTTTTCCCCCGAAAATTCGTCGCGGAAGTAGCGGGGGTCCCGAACACTTCAGAAGCCCGGAAACACGTTAAATACACTTTCTGCACGTGTCGGCACCTCCCGTTAATTTTTTTTTCTGAATGGAGGCCTTAAAAGTGGGAGGGGTCTTACACTCAGGTGAATATGGTATTAATGTTATTAAAAAAAAGGTTTTCAAGAAGTTTTCAAGGTGTTAATAAAGTCTTTGTTATTTGAACACAATTTTAAAATTATCCTGCATGAAGTAACAGTAATCACTGGCTAATAATAGCATAACAACTGAGCAAAAAAATAATTTTGATAGAAACAATTGCTAGGGCCCTAAAATACTATGACTCACAAGAGACAACTCACTCACTAATCAGGCAGACATGGTTCATGATCTAGCATTATTTGAGGTATATTCTGTGATTGCTGAATAAACTGAGTGCTCTTGAGCTATAGCAGCAAGTTCTTTTAGCCATTCATCTAGTATGACAGCACAAAGAACTACATTACGAATGTAATCCTCGCGTTTACTGTCATCGTACTTTGGTGCAGTAATAGATCGATGATAGTATCTAGAAAAAGAATCCCATCAATTAAGCATAACAAATAAAAATAATAAAAAGAGTAGTGTTTAAAAAAAACTATACCAAAAATCATACCTGTAGGAGCCAGTTTCTCCGGCACTCTCTAACTGCTCTCGAATTGGTTGAGCAACTTGGGCAGCCCTTCTAAACAATGATGTCACTGTAGATGTCAAACTACGTCTTCTACCGTCCCCTAGAAAATAAATGGCAAATTATGATAAACCTACTTTAAATACAAGGAAAAAAACAATGGTCACATTTTAACTTGAATTTGAACAACCACATAAATAATCCTATTACCTCTTGCAAAAGGATCATTTGTAAGGGAATTTCTATGATGGGTGTTTGGTGGTAAGGAGGTAAATTCGCTGTCAGCTCCTGGGGCAGAGGCTTCAAGAGCAAGCCTCCGAGCATTTGTAAGTCTGTCTTCCCTGTTGACAAGAAACTCTTGAGCTTCAATAACGAGTTCTTGAATGTTTGATAGGCCTGACAAAACTCGATCAATGCGGTGCTTTAAAGTACCAAGGACCTGGGACAAAAAATGTATGTAAGACAAAATGCTAATTAAAAGTAACAGCTTGCAACCCAAACAGAACGTACCTGGAAGAGTGATCGAATACTGGGCTGAGTAACAAGGAGATGGTCAAGCAGAAAAGAACGTAACAGAGGATGAGGATGCACTGCAAGACGAGAAATTAGTCCTGTCAACTGCAAGTTGACTACTAAGCCATTGTCGAGCATGCCTTCCAGTTTACGTAGTATAGCATCCAGGAAAGGACCTGAAATTATAAACAAGAAGATTAGATTAAAAGAGAGGTAAGGAAATAAACCCACAGGAAAGCCAGGTGAAATCCATTTTAATGAAATTACCAATATTGGGAGTTGTTTTGAACACATCCATGTACGATCCCTCTTGAACACATTTGCCATCAACTTTAGAATCTAATAAAGAGGTAGTTTTAGAAACTTCAGCCTCAGTGATAGATGTTGGTAATCCATCTTCCAGTGTTGCAGCTGTGTCGTCTAAAGGTTCATTCTCAGGGGATGAATCTGATGAAAATTTAAGAGCAAAGCTCTCATATCCACTGCTTTCCCCGATTGATGGTAAACTTGAGTCATTAGCAGTGGACTGTGATTTTTCTTCTTTATTTGTAGTGAGAGAACTGGATACTGCATTTGCATCAGAATTTTCACTAGATTCAGCATTACTCTGTTTTTCTGGGCGACCTTGAGTAGATACAAATTCCCCTATGTTAACTGTTTCTAAACTAGATAAGACATCTGAATCACCATTAGAAGATGAAGATGCTTGCTTGTCTTCACTCCTGCTCAGAGGAGATTCTACTCTTTTCTCTGGGCGTGGCACACAGAATGCTTCATAAGGTGGACTTTCGCCATCATAAGGATATACCCACTTGGAGCAGGCACTGGCACAAGCCTGGATTTTGGCTCTTGCATCACAAAGGTAGGCATGATAATTGGCATAGAGGCTTTCACTGTGCCTTAAACCATATAAACTTGTTGTTGTAGGGAGCGATGATAAGGTATCACATGAGGATGATGCCCTGGGCCTGAAAATATTCTTGGTTTTAATGGACAAACTAGCACGGTAAAAAAATATTTAAATTTATGTTACTCTGTGCTCACCGATTTCCAAAATTTGGGCTAGGTGACACATTTGGTGGCAGTGAGGGAGGAGCAGTGGGAATATCATTACAACACAAGGGAGCTAAGGACAGGAAACGTTCAGCATTACGACAGTAAGGATCTCGGTCTCTTACTCTGCGTCTTTGGGAAACCATTACATGGGAGCACGGAACAAGATGACGGAAAACAAGTTCCAGCATGACGTCCTCACAGTACAAACTGACTAGTGAGTCCAGAAGTGAAAGAGTTACAACACCTAGCTGTAGAGAAGAAGACAAAACAAAAGAGATGGTAAGATAATTTTAAAGTTCAGTACCTAAGGTAAGTGTGAGGAAAAGTAAGTTGCAGTTGGTAATTGCAGTCTTACCCTAGTTTTTGAATTTATACGCTGGACCAGGTGGTCTAGAATTCTTTCACCATCAAATTTGTCTTCTAAGAGAAATCGAACAAAAGAGCACAGAAGACCTGGGTCGGATACACTTCGTATAAAAAGCTCTAGGTAAGCTGTGGCTGCAGTAAGATCCTCTATTGTACTCTGGAAAAATTAAACAAAGCATAAATTATTAAAGATGAAAAAAAAACTGATCAGTTAAGTTACCACTCCCAGCATCACGATCTACTTCTTCAAACATGTTAATGAGCGACAAATATTGCAGGCAAAAGCTATTTGAGAGCTCTTTCTCACTGGAGCACACCAAATTTTTAAGCATGCATGCATTTGGAAAATAAAACAGTGGGAGTGTAACAGGCTATTCCCATGCACTCATCAAACCTTAAAAATTACTTCAGGAAACATTTAGACTTTTTTTTGGTACAATATGCCACAAATAAATTACATGGAATACTAGATAAAATTTTAAAATATAACTACAGACAGACACAGTGTGTTGCGTACCCATGCATCCATGAGACCAGACTGCAGCATGTAATAAGAGAGTTAAAATATTACAATCTCTGAACATACATTAATAAAAAACATTCCAACACAACCTAAAATATACAACAGAAGGCCAAAAATTCCACATTTGCCAAACGTATTATCTAGGCCTACATCACTTAGTAACGAGATCCAATATCATAAACTTTGACCGGTAGTAATCATAAAACAAGATAACTAAAATGAAAAATAAACAACATCTGCTCATTCAAACCCATCATGCAATCACAGCCATTAACAGTAACCTACCAAAAGTACATTAAAAAGGCAAATCAAAATAGACTTGTTAGGACATTCCATCAGCCATTCTAGAGGAGAGATTAAGTTTAGCCAAGGGATGCAGGCACAAAGGATCATTGGTACTGACCGCATCAAGGGCTGTGTCTATTTGTTCGTCGCACAATCCAACAGATTCCTGCAGGTAAAGCACCATCCAACAAAGAAACAAAAGCACATCTTAGAACAGTTGAAGCATATCCACACCAGAGAGAACACCTAGACACAGCAGACATTCCAACACCACAGATATTATTTTTGTTCATACATAATTAATTATAAATTAAGATTAGATTTCCATTGCAGGAGAAGTTAATGAAACTAGTAAACATTTAATAAACAAATAAAATTATCACAACAGAATAAGATATTTATTTGACACCTTATAAACCTTTTCATTAGGTAATTAAGCTCACATTGCTTTGCTAACCACAACACAGAGTCTTACACAAAAACTTGGATCAGACAAGCAGAAATGCAAACATTGCCTATATAAAAGCTGACAAGTACAAAGAAGAATTCATTCTGTGTAAAGAGAGATGCAAAGTACAGCAAAGAAGATGAAGAACAAAAAGTTGTTTCAGAGTTCATTGCTGTGGTTCAAGTAAGAAAATTAACATAAAAAAAACACCTTGTACTCAACCCATCAAACGTGAATGAGGATATCTTGTTTTAAAACTAGCTATTTTTAATAAAAATTTACAGAAGTGAGTATGGGTGGATTCAAATAAATTGCAATTGCAGTAAAGTTGCAATCTTTTGTCAAGGGTAAAGCGGACAAAACTTCCGACACCGCTGGCACCTGGCTGAAGAGTTGCCGCCACCAACATGCTATGTCATTCACTTCCTCTATTTCACTGCTATTTCTTACAGACTATATACAAATATAGACAAGAACCTTATAAACATGACGTTTGTTGCAAAATTAAACTGTGCATGTGAGGAAAGGTATAAAATAGTTACCTGAAGCAAGGCAGGCCCCATTACTGGAACCAGAAATCCTTGATAAAGGAATTCCAGCATCTGTGTCTTGATGAGTGGATGAGCAACCTGAACAACAGCATTGCAGAATTCTAAAGAGTTCATAAAAGATGCTAATTCAGGCAAATCTGTGACATCATCAGGTGTGAGCTGATGCCAGTCATCCCCATCCACAACTAGCTTTCTTGGCAATAGGGAGTAAAGGCCACTGAGGCCTGTAGCCAGCACCTGTTTCATCACAAACAAAAAAGAAATTGTTGCTAATTTTTTGCTTGAGCATGATTATAAATGTCACTTTTACACAAACATTTTTTAAGGCACTTACCGGACAAACATTTGAATGTTGTGTTATGTATTGAGCAACATTTTTATTTTTCTTTGACAGTGACATGCACAGAAGCAAGGCATCTCTTGCCTGCTGACCAATCCCCTCCTCACGATGGACAAATGGAATAAGAAGTTGAAATAAAACGAAGCTGTAAAAAATAAATTTAAGTCTCATTTTATATGCTTAGCATAGCTGTTATTGCAGTTTTAACAACCACTTACTTGGTTTTGCCTTCTTCCAATGAAAAGAAGAGATCCAAAAGTTGAACATTTTGCATCAGAGCAATGCACAATTGGTAAAGTAACACAACTAATTTCTTTTCAACTTCAAAAGGAAACACCTCTCTAGCACTTGATGAAAGGAGCATGAGCAGGGGCCGGAGGAATGGCTCATGGGAGAGTAAGTGGAGGCGAGAATGACTTACAAGCTGTTCATATAGTTTCAGTTGTTGCAGTCTAACAGCATTGCTGTATCTGTTGAGAAATAAATTGATGTGAGAACTTCCTTACTCCCAACACAATGTAATTTTATTTTAAAACAAACTAATGTGATTACATCATAAATTACCTGCCCGTAATTTCACTCCAGGTATATAGCTTTTCCAAAAGGTTTTCACTAAGTAAAAATTCAAGGGAAGGACATGAGACATTGAGCTCTGGACCAGATGATGGACTATTATCTTGAGAACCATTCGGCAAACTTCCCACTGTCCTTAACTCCATCAAAAGAAGAGTTACCATATGGTCCAAATGATTGACAACACCAAGAACATCATCCTGGGTCAGGGGTGTTGATGAAGCCTGAACAATCAAAACATTCTATTGCAGATCTAGTGTGATGGGAAAACAACATTGACCATGCCTGTCAGAAGTTAACCTACCTGTGTACGTTGTATAATTTCATTGGCTTGTTGCCAATGTTTCCTGAAACTCTCATAGCATGCAGTGGGGTCTGCATCCTTAGGTGGGGAGTTTGAAATTCGTTTATTGAGGCTCGCACGAAACGAGCCATTTCTTAACCAACTCATCCTTTCTTGAAGTTCAACATCTCAACCTGTAAAATAATTACACAATTTAATTTTTTTTAATTTAGAAAATCAAACAGAAAACGATGGGGAAATTACCCTTATTAAAAAGCACAAAAGTAATTAAGACTTGTAACATACAACATATTTTACTGATCTAACATCAATATTTTTAACTTCATATGGTTCCTAAACAAAATATATCAATATCAGTATTAAAAATAAAAAACATACCCAAAGGAATATTCTAAAACTACAAATTTCTGTTCCCACACGAAGATGCGACGTCACGAAAGTTACAAGTTGAAGTGAGGATAGGTTAAGTCTTGACAGCAAATGTGGAACCCTGGGAGCATTTTACTGATAAGATTCGCTCGCATACCTACTGATAATGGTAAAGATAACGACCTGGTAAAACAGGAATTTATGTTCGTAGATTAGGCCATATCTTTGCCGTTTCTCTTCACCAGTTACAGTTGTCTGCAATTGTTGCAGTCCCTGCAAAAAAACAAAACAACTATCTGCTGCGAAAAGCGTACAGCCTTCTGTAAATTCCCGTAAGATAGCTGCGAATACTCCACTCTGTTTACTTTTTGGAAGTACAGACTACAGACGACACTAACATGGCACGTGGGAAAGGTAAACGAAACTTCAAACAGAAAGGTGGAAAACACCAAAAGAAGTCTAAACCCACTGGTAAGAAGCAGAAACCGTCCAGTAATGGCAGGGACATTAAACACAGAGATCAGTTCAAACGTCATCTTCTTGACACAACCGATAAAAGAGTTGTAAAGCGGCGGAAGGTAGAGGATGAGCTCCCCGAGGACGACAGTGAAGAAGAGGTCGACGCTTACAAGCAGCTACTTTCGACATTCTCTCACAAAAGTACAAAAAATAATCTTGCTGTTGAAAGTGAGGATGAGGATGATGTTGAGGACGATGAACTCGACTCAGATGTATCAGAAGAGCAAAGTGACACAGGGGAACATAACCTCGTTGATTCAGACTCCAAATTCTCAAAAAGATTGCAAAACGGTCCTGAGAGTGTTATTGAAGATGACTCTGATGAGGATGGCGAGTCTGTTGACACAGACATGAAACTTGAAGGAAGTCTGCTTAGCGATGAAGATGGAGAAAGTGATCAACAAGAACTTGACAACGAAGATGGTGACTCTGACGAAAGCTCTCCCAGTCCTGAAGTTGAGTCAGAAGATGAGGAGGGCATAGAATTGCAGGACAATCAAAATCAGGTTTGTAACTATCTCTTATTTAAATAATTTTCTCCATTACCTTTGTTTAATGAGCTGTCTGTCTGCAGGAAGATCCTACTAAGTTTGCTGATGATCCATTTGTTGCTCATATCTGCCGTGAACTTTCTGATGAAGCTGCAGACATATTAAGCCAACAAAAACCTCCAGTGAAGGTTGAAAATACTCAGTGGAAAACTCTTGGTCGCCTTGTTGTAACATTGCCGCAAATACCAGGGTGTTCATCAAATTCTGATACCATTCCAAAACTTTCTCTTGAAGAACCCAAGAAATTTGCTCAGGCAGGGAAAGTTCCTGTAAAATTGCCTGGACTTGACTTAAACCAGCTTCATGTAAAAGTCCAACTGCATGACACAATTTGTAAGGCCAATGAAGGTGTTCTGGGTGGGGAAAGTAAGGAAATTCTTACCCCGCTCCAGCTGGAGCTATTCACTATAATGAACAACTATCAAGACTTATACTACCCTGAGCGCACTTTACAAAATGGGGAAGAGGTTAGATTTGCATATTGCTTGCATGTTGCCAATCACATTATTAAAACAAGAAACACAGTCTTGCATCATAATTCACGATTAAACAAGAAAAATACTGCTGATGTTCCTGATGAATTCCGAGACCAAGGCCTCGTGAGACCTAAAGTTCTCATTGTGGTCCCATTCCGTGAACAGGCTCGTAGGTAAGCAAAACCTAGTGAAATGGCTCTTTCTCTTCACCATTTTTTTTATACTCTATGACTTTCTATTTTCTTTTTTGCAAAGGGTTGTGGACATGCTTATAAAACTACTTGTTCGTAATGAAGATAAGGGTGGAGTCATGAACAAAAAACGCTTTGAAGAAGAATTTACTGGAGAAGAACTAATTATGTCTAAAAAGAATCCAAAACCAGAGGACTATCAAACTATGTTCTCCGGAAATACAGATGATACATTTCGAATAGGATTGACTCTAACCAAAAGCTGTTTAAAGGTAGGGATATAAGAGTGTCATTTAACATTGAATCTCTGAAACTAACAAAATGTATCCCAATATTAGTTAAAATTTGTTTATATAGCTATATTTTCTTTCTCAATGACTAGTTATATGCAGATTTCTACTCAGCAGACATAATAATATCATCACCTCTTGGTTTGAGAATGATTGTGGGTGCTGAGGGTGAGGAAGAAAGGGATTATGATTTTTTGGCATCCATTGAAGTTCTCATATTAGATCAAGCCAATGTTTTCCTAATGCAGGTAAGCTGTTTCATTGGTGTTAAAATAAGTCAGATTCAGTATGTTTTTGTACTCAATTTTATAATTTTTCGTTCAGAATTGGGATCACCTCCTTCATGTGTTGGACCACTTGCATCTACAGCCCAAAGAATCTCATGGTACAGATTTTTCACGTGTGAGGCTCTGGGCGGCAAATGGATGGTCAAAGTATTACAGACAAACTATCGTGTTGAGCTCAGTGGCTCTTATTGAGTTTAGTTCTCTTCTGAACAAACGTTGCAGTAACTATGCTGGATCAGTTCGTGTTGTGAATCCCATAAATACTGGCACAATATGCCAAGTTGTTGTTCAATTACCTCAGGTTTATTTCATACTTGATTTCTTATCTTTTCAAATGTTGCTCAGTATTTCTAGATTTAAATTACCTTTTTTAAAAACTTTCAGGTTTTCCAAAGACTTGAAGCAATATCAGTTACCCAGAGTCTGGATGTTAGATTTGACTATCTGGTTCGGAAAGTCATTCCAGATCACACAGACCCACTGATGGGTCACACAATGATCTATGTACCATCATACTTTGATTATGTACGAATTAGAAATTATCTACGCAAACAGGATCTCAGTTTTGTACAAATTTGTGAATACTCCAAGGTAACTGTCTTCAATTTTGTCTTTTATACTGAATTAAATGTTTTTCTGAAGTTTTGTATGATGTTTTGTGGTCCATTTTTCAGGAAGGAAAAGTTGCAAGAGCTAGAGACATGTTTTACCACAGCCAAGTACAGTTTTTGCTGTATAGTGAGAGGTTTCATTTTTTTAGGCGCCCTCTTATTAAAGGTATTCGTCACATCATATTTTATCAGCCTCCAAGTATGCCTCACTTTTATAGTGAAATGTGTAATCAAATGCAGGTAAGTCCTGAAGTCATTGATAACAAAATCATAATCATGATAAATGTGTCTTCAAATTTGTAAACTTTTTCAATTTTATTGTTTTGAACAGGAAGCCAATCAAAGTCCATTTGGAGGGAGTGAAAGTAACATGACAGTTACTGTCCTGTACAATAAATTTGATTCTCCACAGTTGTCTGCCATTGTAGGAAGTGAACGTGCATCGCGAATGATTTCTTCAGACCGCAATGTTCATATGTTCATGGCAGGAGAGTAAATCTTATGACTTTAAAATTTACAATGTGATATGATTTTAGTATGGGAGCATAAAACATTGTGAAAGGGTTGTGATGGTTCATATTTATTTTTCTTACGATTGATAAACTGTATTACATGCTTCAGAGAATAAACTGTACAAATAACAAGTTTTAAAAGTAATACATATTTTATCTGTACTGTGCACTTGGATTATGTTGTGTGTTAAACTAGACAAAGTTTTAAAATTAGCTATAACACAATGAGAAAATTATTTCAGAAACATTTGTAAAATATGTTAGTGCAGTTTAAAAATGTGAAGAGGCTACAGGTATTCTACTTTGCTGTGAGATACTAGTTATTCTCATCATCAGTAAATTCTTCTAAAATTTCATTCAAATTTTAAATTGAAAAAGTTGTTGCAATGGCAAATCATTTTTCTATTGTGTAGGTATGAATGTGACTAGTAATTAATGCCACTACTTAATGAAAGGAACTTTGCAAATAAGCAGTATACTGCGTAAAGCAGTATTGAACTGCTTTCTGTGGTAACTAGTGTGATGAGCTAACATCAAAATCACTGTCACTTGCTAACTGGGAGGCTGAAGAATCTGGATGTGTCTCAGGCATTGGTGTAAGGCTCGGGACCTGTTGTTGCTTGCCTTCCACATTCTCAGCTGTTACACTACTTTGCTTTCGAGTAAGTTGAGGTTTTTTTTTAGCCCCAGCCTTCCCTTTAGCGGCCGCAGACCCTGCTGGAGAAGAAGAAGCTGGTGGTGTTGATTGAGATGGTTCCAAAACACTGCCAATTAAACAAAAATTAATGGTTACAAAATAATTTTAATTTTTAGCACTTGTCCAGTCCAGGACCATTGAACATGAACTTAGTTGTACCTTGGTGGTGCATTATTAACACCCTGCCCTACAACTGCAGCCATCTGATTTTCAATTTCACTGGAATCACTGTAGGCAGGCTCACTGCTTGGATCTGCTCCAAGTAGAGCTCGATATTGTTCAAGTGCTAGAAAGAAAATAATCATAAAATTATTGTTTGGTTTATGTTCTAACGACTGAAAAGGATAAAAGATCACTTACTCTGTTGTTGTTCAGCTGCTCCTCCCTGGTACTGCTGCCCTTGATAATTTGACTCAGCTGATGGTGTAGTGGTGTCCTCTGAAATGTCTTCTGCACCAGGTTGGTAGCCTTCGTACTGTTGTGATCCTTCATACCCAGCTTCTTGGTACTGAGAATCTTGCTGGTACTCTGGTTCTTGAGGGTAGTTCTGGTCCTGTTGATAGTTCTGTTCTTGTGAGTAATTTTGGTCAGGCTGGTATGTTTGATCCTGTTGGTACGTTGAATCTTGTTGGTAATTCGGGTCTTGCTGATAGTTGTAGTTATCTGTATTTTGTTGATAATTGTATTCTTGTCCCTCATACTCATACTGAGTCTTATCAGGATCTTGAGAATATTGATAATTGCTCTGATCTTGTTGTTCAGAGTATTGTTGATCACCTGTGTATGGTTCATAACTCTGTTGGTATTGGTTTGGATCGTCTGTATACTCTGGGTAAGTACTCACTGAATCTGCTGCCTGCTGTGATTCTTGATAGGCTTCATACCCTGTCTCATTGTAATCTCCTTGTACATCAGGTGGTTGATCTGATTCTTTTTTGTAACTTTCATAGCCTTGCTGTTCATGTTCTGGACCAACAGTATAGGGCTCGTACGCACCATCTTGCCCTTGTTTAGCATCATTTTGAGCCTGTCCTTCATAAGTGGTTGAATCATCGCCTTGTTCATAATTATATTGCATGTTTTGCTGCGGGACTTGTGACTTATCGTCACTCATTGACCAAGCCTGCTGCTGTTCATCTCCTTTATAGGAGAAATTATTTGGATCAGTAAGGTCATCATAGGCTTTCTCTTCTGTTGAAACGGGTTGTTGCTTTTCAGTTTCCAAACTGGAATTAGCTTCTGGTTCACTTTTCAAAGAATCAGTTTTCTCAGCAGCTTCTACAGGTGTATGCTTTTCAGCTTCCACTGAACCTTTCATTTGATTTTGACTTTCCATTTTGATGAAGTTGGTACTTTGATTCACCTCTGTCTCTTTTGCATCTTTCACAGCTTGTTCACTACTTGGTTGATCCAGCTGAGGCTTTTCAACATCTTCAGTATTACTTCTTTGCTCAGGAATAGATTTTTCTGGATCAGTTTCTTCATGTAGCTTGGAGCTGCCATTTTTTGCATCATCTGAATTCTGAAGTGTTTCTTTAGACAAGCCATTCAGTGTTCTTAAAATTACAGTTTCTTCACTTAAATTTTTAAATTTCTCCTTAGCATCTTCTTCCTTTTCATCAAACTGACCGGACCACTGTTCTTTTTCAGACACTGCCTCTGATGTATCTTTATCATAATCCTCTTCAGATTTTAAATCATTTCTAAGATCTGTAGTTGTGTAGGATGAATTATTTTTTTCCCTTGGTGTTATTTGAGATGGCTCCTCTTCATGATCAGAACTAAGTTCCCTGACAAAAGAAGATCGTCGTGATTGTGACACCTTTGCTTTTGATTCTCTATCAAGTGAACTTTCTCTTGATGATTTCTTATGCTGATCATATTCTGTAATTTTGGATTTGAGAGATGTGGCTGGTAATCCTATTTCCTGGTCTTTATTCTCTTGAATCAATTCTTTAAGCCGCTCTATCTTTTCTCTAAATGCATCCTTTTCCCTGCCTTGCTTATCCCGCAAATATCGCTCATGGTCACTAGATTCCCAACTTGAGATTGGCAGAGATGGTGAATGCCTTCGTAACGAACCGTATGAACCACTATACAAACTGACATCGTCATCTCTAAATACATAAGGGTTTTCGTACTCTGGGTCAGTAAATGTAACCGATCGTCGAATATTGTTTCGTGGTGGTGAAGGTAAATAGCTGGGACGAAGTGTTTGCCATGTTGGTTTTAGTCTACTTGGACTGAGAGATGAATCTAATCTTCTTATTTCAATGTCTTCTGATGGTAAGAGTATTCGGTGAACATTATCAGACAGGGGAAGGGAAGATGAAATTTCAGGCTTACGGCTTCTTGGAGAAAGTATCGACTTGGGGGAAGGACTAGTTAGGACAGGCGGTGAGAGTGACCCACTTCTTTTTGGAATAAAAACCTCTCTGGGACTTACGTGCTGTCTTACTGATTTATGTGGCATAGAAAGACTAACAGATGTGTTTGCCTTAACAGAACTGTAATTCCTTGGATTAGAATAAGAATTATGGTCAGCACTAGTATATGGGGAAGGCGAATATAGAACCTCAGATTCATTCAAAATACAATCATCAGATAAAGATAAATTTGACAAATTTAGTAGATCTCCACTGGTATTTTGGTCTGCCTCAATGTCGGAATTCCCATGATCATAATCTAAAATCCGATTATTTGAAGTTGATAGTCGATGATACGGTTTTTCTTCAGTGTAATAATGAGTGGTTCTTGAGGGTGGAATTGCTTCTCTTTTCTTAGAAAAATGTATCTCACTCCTAGATCGAGGAGAGTGTCCCGCATCTAAGCTTTTTGGGGGAGAGTATACATCATAATGTCTAAGTGAAGAGGATGATATTTTGCCTCCATCATATTGCGAAGACAAGTCACGAACCCTTGATGGACTTAAAGAAGCACTTCTTATTGCAGAGGATCCTGTAGGATAAGTTGAACGTCCAACCACAGGACAATCTTCACGAGATGCTATGGCAATATCTGAACGGCATAAAGGTGAGGTCAGAGGATAGAATGGCTTTGCCGGTATACTTGGTAAGGCATGGTATTGAGTCTCACTGTAATCGACGGGGTCAGGGAAACGTTGAGCACTCTCAGTATCATATCCTGTGATTTCAGTCACCCGGGTCATAACATTTGGGGCAGGAGCAATAGCAGCTAAGGGATAGTATGGGCGGTCTAATCCTGTATGCCAACCAGGATATGAATGAGCTATAAAGGCTTCATAATGTTTCTGTAACAGAAAAATAATTTTCCTATTAAACCTTATGAAGTTCAATGTATTAAAAATATAATTTCTGACAAGGTATTTCACTATTTTACCCTTAGCGCTCGCATTCTCTCTGTCTTGGCAGCAAGGCTGGCTGTGTGGCTATCGATACGATCCAGTGCCTGAAGAAGACTGCTATTACGATCTCTACGACGTTTATCTTCCTCCAGAAAGCGTTTGTACCTTGCCTCAACAATTGACACTCTTGCCCTTTCCCTAAGAAAATGTAAAGTTGTCCAATAAGTTACATTGTTTGAGAATCCATAAAGTTTAGAAAATGTTTGACTCAGGAAAACACTGACTTATCATGATTGGCAAGAAGGAGATGATCAAACTGTCGTTGCAACAGCATTCTCTCCTCTTCACTGCAGAATCAACAGAACAAAATTAAAATGAAATAGTCATATAACTAAGCACTGTAGCAGACATTTGTTTTTGATAAAAGAAATTAAAGGGGAGCTAAGGGCGAAGAAATTTAATCATAGGAAATGTTATTATTCCTTGGAAGGGTAAACAAACATGTGACAGGTGCAGGACGAAATACCGGCATGATACAATTGACCCAACTAACAAACCTTCGTTTTAATCGTTCCTCCAGCTCTTGCATTTTGTTGTAGTAGTCTACATTGCTACTACGAAGAGTCATCGTACAAGTCTATGTCAGGTCAGCTGAAAACCGAAAGAATGGATGTGCTCTGTCGCATGACAGTTTCGGCTGTGTTGATAAACAAACTGCCGACATGTTGTAATCAAACTTCCGTCCAATCAGCGTGCGCCTGCGCCGACCTCGTGACTCCAGCTCTCCGAGTGGCGGGAAGTTCGAAACGACCGATTAACCCCGCGAGACACACTGAGGAGGTGTGGGGGGTAGGGGTACGTGAGGCAGAAATCCGCGAATCCCAGGACTATTCAGCACGTATCACAGGGTCGCGGAGCGCGCCTCGTCTGCCTCGCGGGGCGGGGTGGGGTGGAGCGGGCGGAGCGGGCAAGGCGGCCTTCCCTCCGGCCTCCGGGGGTCCGGGGCGCTCCGACGGGGGCCTGCGGCTCGGCTTGGCTCGGCTCAGCTCGGCGTCTCAACTGTGACTGAGGCCTGGCTTTTCCAGCACCTTGGGGAGGACCTAAGTCGTCGGAAGTCGATAGAGCTGCGACCTACAGTCAGGACATATCTGTAGGGAGGGGGCCGAGGCCAAGCCAGAGACACAAACACGGAGAAAGAGGGCCAAAATAGCGAACTGACACGCGACACGCGAGGAAGGGGGGAGGCTGGTGGTACCAAGGCTGGCACCACGGCCAGGGTCTGGTCTGCGCCAAGTTGGGCCGTACTCGGGGCGGAACCAGCGCTGGAGGACGGCGGCGCGGGTCCGGGTGGGTGCTGGTGCTGGTTAGGTCAGGGTGTCTCAACCCTGCTCAGTCTCAACCGTTCACTGGCGAAAAACATTTAACTAACAGTACGGGTGATGGGAAAGCGCTCGCTGCTCGGCCGATTCGGAAATCCATAAATACACAATCTACTTCGACGTTTCCCCATAAATCGGCTGAAGAAGCGCGCCCTTTCGCCGATGTGCGTTTGTGCGCTTGTGCGCATCGCATTTGTGGGTCGCTGAGGCCGATACGGCCGCGAGGCATGCCCGCACGTGGGTCGGGAGTGGGGGG